TCGCAACTGTTCCTACCGTTGCTACCTGTGCTCCGCTCTAAATGAAGGCTTACAGCCTAATTTTTTCGTTAGCATTCCTGGTAATTATGGTGGTTACGGTTCCTTTCGCTACTTTTTGTTGTAAAAGAAAATTTAGCAACCGTTTGGCGGGATCGTGAGCGGAAAAGGTGCAAGTCCTTCGTTGTAAGACAACGGTAATAGTGGTAGGGACGCTGAAATGAACAACGGTAGCATGTGAACTACTAATGCGATACTGCTGGTAATGTTTTCACATCTTCTGCTCGGTAGCTGTTGACCTATACTGGTTTCATCTATATAACTACTAACGCTGGTAATACTTTCCATGTTCACCTGTCTTTCTGGCATATTATATAGTTGTCGTGGTATTGCTAGCTAATAGTCCAAAATTTCATGAACTTTTCACTGGTTCATGTTTCGGCGATTTTGCCTTCCTCAAAACCTGGAAAGTTGAGTCGAAGCAATCTTTTCCTTCATGCATTTTTCGGTTCTGACTCTTATGTTGACGTCTGAGGAAAAAATTACTTTGACTTGACTTTCCAGGCTCTGAAGAAGGCGAAATCGCCGAAACCTTGACCAATAAAGAGTTTCTAAAAATCTTGACTATCAGCTGAATCAAAACCACAGAGTGATAAACACTGTCATCATTAGCGACTATACCATCATACTCGCTTGTGTCAATTCATAAACGTGGTTAGCTAGGCTTTTTATCTCATTTTATTGGCTTCAAATTCCGCAACTACGTAAAGGAGCCATTATGTGATGACTTTACCACTCTTTTGGTAAAGTCAAGATGTAATAGGCTGACCAGTCTTATGGAAAGCCGATGGTTGGAGTTTGATGGCTCCTTTAGTGTGTTACAATACACAATATAGCTTTATTAAGCTTTATTGAGACAGTCAACGTACCCTCATTCGGGTAGTGGTAGAATGCTGCTCCTAATAGGCGGAGCAATGTAAGTCAAGCATATCAATACAAAGATATCACTTGAGGTCGCGAGTTGATGACCTCAAGCCTACATAGGGGACTAAGTAGAGGGGAATTGATAAGATTATGAGAGGTGCCGACAATATCGGCACACATTACGAGGTTGTCTGGTAGCTCAATTCTTGCAAGTTTTCCTTGCAGTGCATGTTGGTAGCGCTGTTGCAATCAACGGAAAATGGCAGCCAAGCTTGGGTAAACAGCAAGGAAGAGAATTGCTAGCTTATTCATGCAAAGTTTTAGCAGACGATGTGGAAGTAAGTTTTGTTCTGTTCTTTCCTACTCTAATTATTTACTGGTTATTGTAGCCGAGGTACTCATCTTTGTCTCCGGATCAACTTCGTAAAAAAATACATCTTCGATCACGGTCTTCCGCTTTTGCCGCTTTGCTTCGATTGCGGTCTAAGCTTTTGTCGAAAACTCATGAGTACTTCATGGTACGTTCGTGATGATATTTCCAGTATTGTGTAATTTGCTGTTCTAGAAGCGTGGCTATGTGCATATTGACACGCCAGTCATCACAGCGAATGACTGCGAGGGAGCTGGAGAAACGTTCTCCATAGCTGAAGTAAGTCAAGCCTTAGTTCCAATAACTTAATTTATCAGCACTGCTTGTTTACAATTTTTTCTTCTGATCATCGGTTTTAGCCGACTTCAGGGGAAGAATTCTTCGCCAAGAAAGATGCATTTCTCTCCGTCAGTGGTCAATTACATCTAGAGGCTATGGTAAGGTTCGTTGTATGCTTTCCATTGAAATACTATTATTGTTCAAAAGATTTGCAAATACAGGGAAAAGTAGTTACAAAAACGATTTTCATGTTCATAGTCCCTATCTTTTTTCTTTGTTGAAAATTCTTTTCCGCAAAGAGGAATTGCCCATCATGGGGATTTTGCACTCAGGTTTCGATAGTCAGATAGCTCTCGAATTACTTACTCCTATGATAAACCTTATAAGCGAGTTGATTTCTTTTTAGTGGAATTTCTCAAGTATACACCTTGAGTACTGGATGCAGAGCTGATAAGCAGCAGAGCAGGAATCACCTAACAGAATTCCGGATGTTAGAAGCAGAGATCGCCTTCTGCGATGTAAGTTGAATCATACCAATACTCTTTGTACCTACAAAGTTAGTAGAGAAAGATCTTGTTAGTAGACATCTACAATAAAACCATGTCTAAAAAGCGCATTACATTTTTTCGCTTTTTCTAATCATTGTCTGTTTCTTAGGACCTCAGTATTCTACTGAAAATTACCGAGGATTTCCTTCGCTACTGTATTTTCAATTTGCTGAGTGATCCAATGATGATGGACGACTTCGATTCGCTTGGACAGTTTTCTGCGAAGGTAACATTCATTATCACCACCAAAGATAAATGTATCGGATCTCACTCCAGGACCATATGTTCGTCTTAGGATCCATCATGGATGCTCCACCCTTTCCCAGGCTACCGTATGCTGATGCCTTGAAGCTACTGAATGACAATAATCAAAAGTTTACCGGAAGGGGGCTGACCAAGCAAAATGAAGCTTTTTTGGTAAGTACAGTTGTTTCTCTGTTGTTAGCAATGATTTGGACTCGTTGTTGTATTTAGGTGGACTATCATAAATCTCCAGTCTTCGTCACTCATTTCCCGTCCGAGCAAAAACCATTCTACATGTTGCGGTCACCAGATGGAAAATTGGTAAGTTATTGGTGCATTTTTATCAGAAAAAAGAGTATTTTACATCTCATCCTATCTTCAGACTGAGTCTTTTGATCTACTCTGCCCCGGCGTATGTGAGCTTGCTGGTGGATCCATTCGTGAGCC